CAAGCGGGTCTTTGTCTCGAGACGGACCTTTGGAATGCGACAAGACGATCAAACGACACGATAAGCCATCAGACAGAAGAGACAAATCGGACAGTGATGAGTGGAAAAGCGCTATATGCGTTTGTTTGGCATTCGATGATACCTAAGTCGTGGTTCTCGTAGATTAAGGACCGAGATAACCCATATGAGGTTGGTGCCTCGAGTTACCTAGTACTCCGATCGTCTCTTTCGCGTTCTGATGATTGCTTGCAAGATAGTGTTGCATGTGTCAGAGAACGATGTATGAAGAGCAATCTCACCAACTATTTTACACTGCCGCTAACGCTCCCGAGTAGCTCAATTATTGAGATGCGTTATATGTTTATACATGAGAGTCTTTTAGTACTTCGTGAAAGCACCGGCGAAGCGTCGGTTTGCATTGTCTGAGCCGAGTTTCAAACGTTGACGATACTGTTCGATTCGGTTCGAGCTTACGCGACGAAGTTCTTGATGTCTGATAATGTGTTAGCTCCCGATACTGAGACTGCGAAATGTAAGCGCAACTTACTGTTGAGCCACTGAATGTACTCCTTCTGCTCCTTGTGGTCAATGTAGTCGGGGATGAACAGGGCAAGACGGGTGTTGATGCCACGCTCCTCAAGGTACTTCTCAAGGAGGATCTGGAGGTCCTCGTCTAGGTTGTTGAAAGGAGGGCCCTGTTAGAAGTTAGATTTGTTACGATTTACATGCAGCCTTTGCACTTACAGTGTAGAGAGCGCGTCTTGACCAGTCCTTCTCGGCAGTGGCGGGGTCAGCCAGATCGGCGGTAGGGAAGTAGTAGAGGTCCTCGATCAGGAAGTCGCCGTCCTGAGCGGTGGCCTCGATAGCGAGAGCACCCTTGCCGGGACGCTCGATGCGAATGCTAGCGTGAGCGGGGAAGCCCTGCTGTTGGCCATCATCCTCGTAGTCGTCCTCAAGTTCCTCGCGATCAGCGGGAGAAACACGGTCCTCGGGAGCTACGCGAATGTTTCCGTCTTGTGTGGTGCCTTGGTTGATGGCGCCCTTGGTGTTGGCGCCGCCAGACTGCACATCCATGTCGGCATCGTCGTACATGGCATTGTCCTCAGTAAGCTCATCGCTGGGCTGGTTGTTGTTGAGGTCGGCGGTGGTGAAGGTGATTCGGATCTTCTCGTCGTTGTATGTGCGGGTCAGGACGACTTCCTGGTTGCCTGCCTTGTCCTCAATCTAATGGCTGTAAGCATTCGGCCAGTAGCAATGGTGGTGTAGGATCTTACCTCAAAAGGGCTGTTCTCAAGGTACTCCTTGATGTTGGCAGAGAGATCCTCGTCCTCCTTCATGCCCTCCTCCATGGAGATCTCGCTCTGGATCTTCGCGACGAGCTCTTCATTGACTAATCGCGTTAGCCGTGTTCTCTCACTGCAATGCATCCTATACGTACTACCGCTGTCTTGCCTCCGCGCCGCTGACATGTGGAAAGAAGCTGTGAGGCGGGGAATTGGGGCAGCCCATGCTGGCTGGAAAGCTGACGTCTGTCGCAGCGACGACTGCGGGCGGACGGCTTTGGTGGAGAAACGGGCAGCAGACCGCGGGGCGCTGCGGGCGAGGTTGCGTAGGGACATCATGGTGGACTAAACGTGTGACTGGAATGGAACTTCAAGATGGCGATGCGATAGATGGCTCTCGAAAGCGTAACTTTTCGATGGCCCAAGCGCAGGCGGGCTGATGTCAAGCGGGATGCTTGGCGCCGAAATGCGGGCCCGCTGCTCACCTCCGTCCTCGGCCGTCTTCAAGACGATGGAATCAGTATTTTGTGAACCTTGGGAAATCTAGTTCACGTTGGCGCGTCGAGATTCCTCCAACTGTGGTTCCTGTCGCTTTTCAAAGAATCTACATTGGTTTCGAGTGCAAGACCAATACTACGTCACTGCGCCGAATTCCTATTACCGCACGCGACGTAGACACGCCAAAACTTTCCCGCGTAATTGCTGCGCGTACAAACCTACTCCCATCACCACCGGAGGCTGCTCGACTTGGAACGTCATGGCGACCGCAACGACCGAGAAGAAGAAGCCAAGCGCAATGCGCTCAATCCTGGCAGGTGCAACTGCAGGTGCCGTAGAGATTTGTAAAGCATGCGCCCGGGTCGTAATCTGATTCATGACTGACCCTGGACCAGCAATCACATACCCCGCTGAGTGTACGCACCGCATCGTATCCGCTTACATGACCAAGTCGAACCTGACCTCAACATAGTCGCAAAGACACGATCCCAACTCAACCGGAGATTACCTGATGGAAAGAAGCTGCCATGGCCGCCGTTCGGCGCGCAGTGGTACGCTGGATGCACAACCTTGATCATCGGCAACTCTCTGAAGGCGGGCATAAGTACGTCGTGGAAATAATGGGAAGGCGACTGTCTGACGCTTCACGCAGGATTTGTCGCATTCGACATGTACAGGAATATGCTGGCAGACGCTGAAGGCAAAGTCTCCGGCCCAGCGACAGTCATAGCTGGTTTCGGTGCAGGAGCTACAGAGTCGCTATTAGCTGTGACTCCGTTCGAGAGTATCAAAACCCAACTGTAAGCAGCCTTGGTCGCATGCATGTACCTTCACTGACTCATCCGCCTAGTATTGACGACCGCAAGTCGGCAAACCCACGCATGCGAGGCTTCCTGCACGGATCAAGAATAATCGCACAAGAAAAAGGCATTCGCGGCTTCTTCCAAGGTTTCCTCCCAACGACTGCACGTCAAGCAGCCAACTCGGCCGTTCGCTTCTCCAGTTACACATCGCTCAAGCAGCTAGCGCAGTCATACGTCACCCCAGGAGAGAAGCTCGGTGCCTTCAGCACATTCGGACTCGGAGGACTCGCAGGCATAATAACCGTCTACACTACGATGCCCATCGACACAGTCAAGACACGCATGCAGTCAATAGAAGCACGGAGCTCTTACAAGAACAGCTTCGACTGTGTAGCCAAGATCTTCAGAGACGAGGGGCTCTTCACCTTTTGGTCAGGAGCACTTCCAAGGTTAGGTCGGCTGATCCTCAGTGGTGGTATCGTCTTCACCATGTACGAAAAGTCCATGGAGCTCATGGACAAGTTTGATCCCCAGGGACGTTACATATAAATTTCGCGCATATATCTAGAGCCAGTAGCGAGTGCATTCTCCGTTCGCCTGGTGTTCTACATCCATTTGCGACTGTGTTACACCATTGGTCTGGATCTCATTGGCTTGTCTGCATCCCTCGCTTCCCCTCCTCCGGATTGCTCAAGCGCCACCACTTCAGGACATGTAATGCATTCAAATGACAATATAGGTTCTAACACAACATGAGTTGATCTTGCCTGGTGAGAACGAGTCAGAGCATCTTTTCCATATTGGGCTTGTGTCACTTGCATATCGACTGCCATGATCCAATGGAAAGTGGACCAAGGCTGAATCGATAAACATGGGACTTCCGCGTCAGTAGTTATTGGGTTTCGTGGCACCTTGTTTCGTTGAGATATGCAGGAACTTCACCGGTTTCTGAAAAGGCTAGCACCGCTTACACGACGGTATATCTTGTCGAACCACATTACAGAAGGCATGTTCAGGCAATACTAGGTGCAGTCTGCGAATCGGAAAGTACGGCGTGCTGCCTTCTTCATAAGTCTTTCATGGCCCGCACCTACTCGTCTCTTCTTCTTCGGTATCGCCGTGTCCAGAATCATCAAACAATCACTCTCTGTCTGATATAAATGTACAGCATTCCTTGAATATTATAACAATCACATACGGTACCAACGCATCACAATCATGCCTCCAGTTGTATTCATATCAACTCCAGAAGAGCTCTCTCTCATACTAGCAACGTTCGACGACCTGCCAGTATCCCCACCAAGTCTGTACATCGATCTGGAAGGCGCGAAGCTCAGCAGGAATGGTTCGATCGCTCTACTAACACTGTATGTACTACCCAAGGAGACTGTGTATCTCATCGACATCCATACTCTGGGCGCTCGCGCATTCTCAACACCAGCCACTGCAGCAACAGCAAGCGTGACTGCGGCGCTTGATACTACGCCCAGCACAACAAACCCCACTGAAGACGCCGGAAAGTCTTCCACAACTCTGAAGTCTATCTTGGAATCGACAGCAATCCCCAAAGTCTTCTTCGATGTACGCAACGACTCTGACGCCCTCTTCTCCCACTACGCCATCTCCCTCTCCTGCATCCACGACATCCAACTCAGGGAGCTAGCAACCACTACACGCGGTTCCCGTGAACACCTCCTGGGCTTGGGCAAAGCCATCAACTACAATGCCTCACGCCTGAATATAACGCCGATGCAGAGGCAAGTCTGTAGCGCCATTAAAGAGGCTGGTGTCAGGCTCTTCGCTCCCGAGCGAGGTGGCAGATATGCGGTCTTTGAAGAGAGACCGTTGAGCCAAGCAATCAAGGATTACTGTGTGCAAGATGTGGTGCATATGCCTGGACTATGGAAGCTGTATGGTAGTAGAATGGCAGAAGGGGGCTTTTGGTGGACCATGGCTTTGGAGGGTGCAGCAAGTAGGGTGGATGAGAGTCATCAGGCGGGATATCAGCCACATGGGGACCACAAGAGGTACGGGCCCTGGACTGATGATCATATCAAAGAGGCGATGCGGCGCTGGAATGCTGGGCAGCGGAGCAATCTGTGTGGATAAGTGAGAGGTTTGAGACTGAGTGACGGTGGAAGGTTGGGGACTTGGTCAAACGATAGTTTGTAGATGCATCGTACTTGTTTGGCTGTAGATGAATGAGCAAACGAGAGTAAAGATAAGAACTATGTCATGACTTTCTTCTGTTTTCGAGGTGACTTACGATACCATGTCTATGCCCGACATTCACCTCCACTTTGGTCACTGGCCATTGCCAACGCTCACCACTACGATTTCAACTTCTACACCAAGTCAACAGTCGCAACCTCAATCTCCTCTAATCAATCCAACACACCCTTCAACAGACAAGAAAATGTCAACACACGCCGCACAACTGCTCGAGCAGCAATTCTTCTCTACGCTGAAGGCACAAATCATAGGCCTTGCGGTGCCTCTTTACGGCACAAGATCGGAAGACGCGTCAAAAGTCTACGATGTAGTCACCTACAGCATGACCACCAACAATGGCGGCAGTAGCAACGATAGCAGAAGCACCTTCAATACTGCTAGTACCAGCAGCAGCAACGATGGTGAAGAGAAAGCGATGCCAACACATGGAGTGGCATTGATCCTCTACACTGGCCCTCCAAGTTCGCCATTCACATCATGGACACTGATCAGCCATGTGGAGGATCAGCCCGACATCATCACTGGGGCGAATTGTCTGTTGGAGGACTTGAGGAAGGGGATGGGTGGAGTTATTAGTAAGTTCATGTCACTTGTTTCCTTTCTGCTGTTTCGTCCTCGCGTCTCGATTTTGGATTTTTATAGTTGGGGCAAGGAAGATCAAGGCATAGTTGACTGATGGCATGGTCGGGAATAGGTGTCTGCATGCAAACAGGTAATTGGGGGATGAAACATGGGAGGATTCCCAACGTTGCGGGTGTCGGGGAGGAAGGGCAGGAGGTCCACCCTGATGTCGAGTATGAGCATGGGGGTGACGGAGGGGACAATATGGACGTCAGGCGTGGCGCTGAAGGTAGTGGCGGCAGAATGGACGATGCCAGCGAAGATCTGGGGCAGACCGGCTGGAGTCCAAGGTTGTCGAAAATCATCGAAGAGGTGTAGACATTCAACGCGTCAACGCGCTTGAGGGTTGAGTTGGGGAGATTTAGGGACTACAGCATGTTTGGAGGCGTTTTGTACATTAGCACAAGGCAGCGGGATAGTCTTCGTGTACTTTCCATCAAGCGAATAAAACCCGAATCCTGCCATGTAGTCATCATATGCCTTTTCACGTCTTAGTATACACACCTGTGTCTGTACGTAGGTATCAAAGGTAGTTATATTTCCTTATGATCCGTGTATCGTGTCATGAAGTTGTTCATTCACACGCAGGTCACCTCAGTTGGAGCAGAGCGAGAACTGTATTGAGAACACGAAAACGACGCGAATATCACATTGGAACACTACCTAAAGATACGTAAAGATCAAATCGTGTACGATTTCATCTGCCAGTGCCAATCGGACTCATCAGACTGTTACCACTACCACTAGTAGGACTCCGCACCATCATCGGCTTAATACTCTGGACTGGGCTCAATGGGTCTCGTTGGCTCGAACTCTGACTGGAGGTCCCTGAGCTGAGGCTGCCACTACCGTGACTGCGATTGCGGCCATTGATCGGACCTGGAGTGCTGAAGGGGTTACCGAGGACATAAGTGCCTGAAGACGCGGGCTCGTCGAAAGCGTCGGTGAATCCGGATACGTTAGAGAGCATCGACGAGGAACGACCGCGACCTCCACGCATGGAACCAGGAGTGCCGTTCATGTGCGAGTGCATTGACGGGAACGTGAAGCTGGAGAAACCATTGCCGTGAGGAGACATGTTCGTGCCTGGGAGATTGCCTTCTGGTGTGGTGGGAACAGACATGTGCTGGTGTGCTTGCTGGAGGAGGAGCTCTTCGTACTGCTGAACAGTCTGCAAAATTTGGCTGGTTGACATGTTCTGCTCCTCAGTGCGTCTTTCGTAGCCATTGATGTTGCTCCGATACTGATGCTCGACTTCAGCGCGCTGTGCTCGTAACGCTGCGCGTTCTTGCTCCCTTCGTTGCTTGGCGGTGAAACCTTCAGCATTGGCGGTAACGAGACGGTCGTGCTGCTCGTTGAGCCTGGTTTGACGCTGCTGAAGGCGCTCCCTCTTCTGGAAGGCAGTAGAAATGTCGGACTCCACACTTTGCACTTGTCGCTCGATCTCCTCCTTGGTCTTGTCGAATTCACAAGCAACAGCATTCTTGTTGTCACGCTCCTTCTTCCACTCTGCCTTCTTGGCTGCAGCCTCCTTCGCCTCATCTTCGGGAATGCTTCCCAGATTTTCTGCTTGAAGGGCAAACTCGGCGGCAGCATCGTCGGCTTGGCGAATATTCTGCGTGAATTGCAGGACGCGCTGGCGTTGGCGCTCGTCACTACCTCCGGCGTTGGCAAGGCGATTGCCGAGCGTGTCCACCTCTTTCTTGATGTTGGTAATGGCTGTCTTGTGGTCTTTCTTGTTTCGCTTCAACCGATTGCGCTGTTCCTGCAGTTGTTGGTCGGCTGCGGCAATAGAGTTCTTCAATGTGGTTGTTGGCGAAGAAGGTCGTAGGGTCTGATGGGCTGGCGGGGAGGCAATAGAGGCTGAAGCTGTCACGCATTAGCAAGGGAAGGCTACACAACATGTTCTGCTTACCAAGTTCGGTTACCGGGCTCGCCGAGGTAATCAGACTCGCTGAGTAGAAGACTTGGTTGTCGTTGGTCCGAACAAACTCGCAATAATAGTTCGAGAGAGCTGTCAGACCAAATATTTCTCCTACCCAGTAGCCCGTTCCCTCTTGTCCCTGGAATCCGATCGGCTCGCTCTGTCGGATGCGGGTTGAGCTCCAGTCCGCGCCGTTGACGCGGATGTAGAAGGGCTTCGACTTGTCTATCCCAGACCCGACACTGGAATCTTCATCGTCCTGCTCTTGAAGGCCAGCTCCACCAGATAAACTAACACGAAATGAAATGTCGGAAAAGCCGACTTCTGAAATCCAAACACGATCGTCCTCCGATCTCCAAACAGCGTTTCCAATGTGATTTGCGTCTTTTGCGTTAGCCTCGTCGGCATCGTTGGCCGCCCGGCTACTCTCCATCTCTTTTAAAACTGTAACTTTTGTACTGGCAAGTGCAGCCCAGAATGGCTGCTGACTACGAACATGAGTAGCTTGCTTCCTCTTCCTCCTCCCACTACTCGCTTTATCCTTGATTGCGTGTGCTGCGGGCGACGGCCCCGGGGGGCGACCATCGGTGCTCGAGGAGTTGGGCACGTCGGCAGTGGGATCGAGGTTCGTGGAGTTGGAGCGTTGCAGCGTGCCAGACTCTGGATCTGTCTTCTTGCCGGTAGGTAAGGTTGATTGTTCTCGTCGAGAGAGAGAGCGTCGGATGATACGAACGACACCTTGGGCCAAAATATGAATACCCAGGAGGCTACGGGGCCATCCATGGGGGGTCGAGAAGCTTTCCAAATAGGTCGGCGTACTCGGGGGGCTCGTCAAGAATTCAAGGCCTCCCCGGGCGAGCCCCGTCCACAGGATGTGGACGATGTGTTGCCGGAGAGGCCTGAATCTGAAGACGTGGCTCGAAAGAATGATGACGAAGCATATGACAATGCTGTTGGTGGTGCCCTTCTTGCCGGCTGCGGCACCGCCGAGCGCTATGGCTATGACGGCCTGTGCGAGGTCGAGGAAGAAGTTCTGGGCAGGCACCCACAGCAGCAGCCATACGAGCAGGATGACGGTGTCGGCGATGATGGTGGTGAAGAGCGAGGGCGTGCCGCCGGAGCCCTGGAAGATGTCGGTGAAGGAGGGGAAGGCGGAGAGGGCGGAGAGGGGCGTGCCGGCCTGGGGCGGGACAAAAGTAAGCGTTGCGAACAGGAACTGGACGACGGTGAGGACGGTGGGGGGCAGCTGGAGCAGGATGATGAGGATGGCGAGGACGTCCCGCAGCGGACAGGACGTGAGAATGGTGGCGGGCACGGCGAGCATGCTGGCCATGGAGATAGACGCCGACTTGGAGGCATTGGTGTCGGCGCGGCGGAGAGTCGAGGGCATGGGATCAAAGGGCCCGCCGGCGCTGCCATTGTCGTACGAGCGGCAGGCCTCGGGGGTGTTGTCGAGCGAGGCATCCGAGCCAGCGCGCGTGCGGTGCCCTGATCCCGCCGACGCAGCAGCGGCCATGGTGTTGGCGTGGGCGCTCGACCCCGGAGCTGGATCGTGGGCGCTGGCGTGCTGCGTCATCTCGGTCGTGTCTACATGGCTGGGCAGCGGCGGCGAGGGCTCGCTGGGCTTCCCGTTGGCGTGGCCATTGAGCTGCGGGATGCTCTTCTGCTTTGTGATTTTCTTGCCGGGGGCCGCAAGGCCATTCTCGTGTCGCTTGTCGTGCGCCGCGTTCCTCTTCGACTTCGCTACCATAGACGGCGGTGCGGGTGCGAGCGGGCAAACCTCTCCCTGGCGCGACTCGACTGCTGCACAGGACGAGCCAGGACTGGAAGATGTTGAGCCGCTGCTCGGTGGGGGAGTCTGGGGGGGTGTCGTGTGCTGGGCAAGACGTGTAGGGAGCGAGGAAGGTGCCCTGCGCCTGCTCAGTCGTGCCTTCCGCCGGATGGGCTCGTGCCAAGACTTGCAAGTGCTAAACGTCAAATGCAAAGTCAACCAAGAAAACCCGACCGCCCAAGCCTCTGCGCGAGTGGGCCACGCTGTGACCAGAGCACTGACAAGCCACGATGCACCTGACGGCTGATTTGCCTGTCGACTCCGAGGTTCCACGTCTCCAGCGCTGCCGACCCGTGGTTCACCACGACCGCCCTGCACATGCAACCACGACGCCCTCGACACGCTGCCTATCCGCGGCAAAATTCCATGTGTCCGGCTTGTACCGCCATCATCACAACCACGCGGGCAGCATATCTTGATGCTGCTGCCACGCAGATCAGCCGAGCTGTGTCCGATTCCAGTTCATGATGCCGATCTTGACCACGACAACAAGGCCGTCATTTCACTCTACCGGGGAAGCCAAGTATCGCCCGTCCCTCTCCGGCAGTGACCAGGTGTCTGATTTGGGTTGTTCAACTTGTAATTCGATGGGTGTGTTCAGTGTGGTAGCGGAGGCAGCTGTACCATGAGTGCGAATCCCGTGATGCCACGGTTGCCTGTTTCTGGGTAGCATAAATTTTCGCGCGGGTGGCGCTCAAATTCCTTTACAACACCCCAAACATTATCTTCGTCATAATCCGGCAGTGATCTTGCCTGTCTGGCACCTCATCTTGCCCTCCTCTACATAGTCCCCCCGTCTGCTGCCTCTGCCATATCGCACAGCTGCATCGCCAGACAAACACGTCTTCCAAGGCAGCCAATTAGCCTGCGCCGGCTTCTTTAGCTTACCTGCTCATTTGCGTGCACCAGGACCCCCCTGAGCCATAGCAAGCTCCAGGGCGAATGAACCCGCGCTTTGTCTGTTCACCGCATGCCTGAAGTCTCTGCAGCGGGCAAACCCCGCCGACGCTATTACTCACGCCGCCGTCACCCATTGTCTGCTTCCTAGGTACGCGGATAGAGCGTGCCTGCCCCTTCGATGCATGAATCTTTACAGCGGCTGCACAGCAATGCTCATGCGACGTGTTACGCCACACCTTACTGAACATTGCTCTACCGGGTCAAGCGGTGCACTGTCAGCATCCCAAATTGTTCGGAGCATTTTTATCTATCTGTGTTCCCTCGAGGCGAGCATAGCGCGCAAGCCTTCCGCCTGCACATCCATGACCCTCTTCCGCCCTCTGCAGTGTGCCGGCGTGAAGCTTAACCCAACCACGCCAATAGCAGCCCGTTCGACTTGCAAATAAGGCAAGCCGGAACATCACGCGCGCAACGGGCGTGCAGATCGCTGCAATAGGCATCAGAACATCCCACTTCATGTACATCATTGTGATGAGAATCACGCCATGCAGTGGGTTCATGCGGCAGTTTGCCATTTTCCCATCGCTTGCATCTATACAACTGGTTTGACTGCCATGCGCCGACCTCGGACACGCGATCAACCCCGCGTGTTGTCTGTCCATG